AGAATATTAGACTATAACCAGAATATTAGACTATAATCAGAATATTAGACTATAACCAGAATATTAGACTATAATCAGAATAATAGACTATAACCAGAATATTAGACTATAATCAGAATATTAAGACTATAATCAGAATATTAAGACTATAACCAGAATATTAGACTATAACCAGATTATTAGACTATAACCAGAATATTAGACTATAATCAGAATATTAGACTATGACTAGAATATTAGATTATGGCCATAATATTTGACTATAACCAGACTATAATCAACTTATGTTGCAAAATGACAAGAGTTACAACTGTTTTGGTCAAACCTTAAAAAGTCAGGCCCAGTTTTCATGCAGAGTTTCACTTACTAACTTCAAATTTTACTTCAATAACCATAAAACTGACTGATAACAGATAAACAAACAGTTGTTGAGAAAGTCTTCAGCAAAAATCTTGTGGAATGAAAAGTTAAGCACGTGTTGTGAATGATTCTCAGCTACTACCAAACCAACTTTAGCAAAATGACCGTAAAACTGACGGAGTTACAGCCGTTTCTGTAAGTTTTCTGTTCAGATAGCTGGGGTGACCATCTTGAATTGGACTTACTCCAAAAGCTAGTCCATTATCGATGTATACTAGGGATGCATGATATTGGATTTTTGGCTGATAACGGATATGCTTATATGTTAAAACTTATTTGGCCGATAACCGATACCAATACCAACTTTTTTTCACAATGGACCTACTTACAAAGACTAGATAGTTCTCTCTGATGTGGAATTAAAATACTACATTATTTTGCATGGTCTTTGTCAAAGTATTTATACATTAAGGATGCACGATATTATCGGCATGGTATTGGTATCGGCCAATATTAGCAATAAAGTTAAATATCAGCCATTCCATAAAAATAACTCACCGATATAAAAGGCACTAAAAACAGTGCCTTTTATATCATACTCATAACCGTTAGCCTCCGCCTGTGCTTGAAACTGAAAAAAGTAACCAAAGACGCATCTAAACAACGGTTAAAAATAACACTGACTGAACTTTTTTTTTTGTTTTCTACTAAAACAAAACGTGTTACAAACACGAGGAACTCTAAAATATTAAGACAAAAAGCGAAACCAATCCATCCTGTGCATACGTTCCCCTCTGAGAGTCAATAAACTTTGTAAATAAACTCAGACATAAACAAGTGGAGACTAATAAAGCTGTAATTCTGCGCGGCATGAGGGAGTCTAGTAGCCGTGGTCTGAGCTGGGGGGTGGGAAATCACTCACCAGGACTGAAGGATGTCCAGGCCTCCCTCTGGTGGGCCCCCGTTGCCTGCCAGCTGTTGCCGTCTCTTCCACTGGATCAACTCATCATCCAGAATTATGGCCTGCTGCTTTCTCAATAACTGCAGTGTTTTCTGGTGCTTCTCAGCCAGGTCCTGGACAGAGCCAACAAACAGGACACATGCAAAGTGAAACACATCAAATTTATTATTTTATTTTTGTGCACAAGTTCACTCACAACCTGGACCGGTCTAAATGTTTGCTGTTGTGTTTTCTTCCAGAGCGGGTCTCACCAGGCGGTATTTCTGTAGTGTGTTGGCCTCTCTTGTAAGCCACGCCTCCACTGTGGCTCTCTTGCTGAGCAGGGCGGGCTCCCGGAGATGGCGGTCAGCAGGGGGCAGCGTGGCAAGGCTGCTCAGCTGAGCTGCAGAGGGTGTGGACAAGTTAAAGACTGGAGAAAACCTGCGGCCACAGTTTATGTTCGCCCCTCGGATTAATAAATAGTTTATTAGGAAGGAGGTCGTCTAAGGTAGCGCAGATGTTGATAAAGTGGAGTCTTGTTTACTGCAGCTCAGTTTGTTTAAAAAAGCTCCAGAGTTTTCTTTACTAAAGCAAAAAGACCTTTCGGTTAGACGATCTAAAGGTCCAGCATCCTTGAAGGAATCATCGCCTGCCGCCTTCCATGCCAGAGTTTTAGACGAAGATGGCCTTACGGTGACAAACGCAGGTAGGTCAAACCTTGAAATTAACTTTTACCACAGCAAATGTATATACCTGTAAAATTCACTAGCTATTTTTGTGAGAGCTACGATCAGTGAGCAGTGGCAGCTATCTTAAATTGGGCTGACTTCAAAATTTAATCAGTGTTAGATGTTAACCCAGTTACTGTCTGCAAGTTGAACACAGGTAACTTTTACTAATTGGCTTTTTTATGTATGTGAGTGTTTCTGTTCAGGGCCCTGAGACGACTTCTGTCGTGACTTGGAGCTTTAGAAATAAATTGAATTGAATTACATCCATTTGGTGATTCGTGAAATATTTTGCTAACGATACACACAAACTAACACGTGCACACATACGGGCAAAAACATCGTCACCCTGTTGCCTTTGGTGGTGGCCGATAACGATAACATAGTCCAGGGGTCTGCAACCTGCGGCTCTGGAGCCACATGCGGCCCTTCGGTTCTTCAGCAGCGGCTCTTTCAAGCTTTGACCAAAACGAACAAACCACTGCTAGTTTAAGCTTCATGTAATTTATTTAGCAAAAATTGTGAATACTAGTACAAATACTAGGAGTCAAACATACTCACTTTAACTTTATTTCTTTAAAGTAGGACACTTTTTTTTTTTATACAGTAAAAAAAAAAAAAATCACTAGACCTGCATACTTCATTGCTTTAATTTTTTTTAATTGGTAAAAACTTTAAAAAATGAATCCTTTACAATAATCCAGTATTTTATTTAGTCTTAAAATGTAAAAATATCATTAAGTGTTAAAAATCATTAGATATTTTCAGTTTTCCTACTGGCCTGAAACGCCTCCTCCAACAAACTTCAAATGGTCCACGGGCCACCAGTTGATAATCACAGCTGGAGCAGGTTTATGGCTCCGGACCTTTTAATTTAGTGAACGAAGAGGCAGAAATGTCTCTTTGGATCGTCAAGGTTGCAGACCCTTGACATAGTCTAATCAGTTCTGCTAGTGGTGCAGTCTACGTGATACGCGGGCATACGGAGTATACCCACCAGAAAAGCTTAAGAATTTCAGTAAACCCACTTTAAAGTGTCCAGTGCTGCACGTCATATCATCAGACACGTGTCATTGACACGTTAAACGACAGTTAAACGCGTCCGTAACTATCTGTATGCAGTGCTCGTTTATTACATTCATTTATCCAGCGAATTATTGTGTAAGTAATACTTACTACTTAATACTTGAACATGTTTTGCTTTGATAACGTTTTATAAATTATATAACATGTTTTTAATGCAAAGCCAAATGTACAAAGTTTGTTGTTCATTTATTCAAATATAAGCATCAGAGAAATATGGAAATGTTCAATATGCTTAAAAATAAAAATATAGACAATTGTACTAACCAGTGTACTTTGGTTTCTAATCCCAGTATACCCACTACAAAAATGTAGACTACACCACAGAGTATTGGCCAATCCTGGTTTGTGAGGGCCTCGGTCGTGCATGTTTCAGTCGTTTCCCTGCTCTTCATCAGGTCTTCAAGCTCTGGAGAAGCCTGTCAGTCACTCAGTCATTCAAACCAGGTTGTGTCAAAGCAAAGATGTAATAAAACCATGTGGAATGGTGGCCCTTGAGGGCCAGGACTGGGCACCACTGGCTTAGATAAACATGAATCACCTGCTTCAAAACAGAATGATCAAACTACACGCAAAACACCGTATGGCTTGAATTTAAAAAGTTACACTTTTTTCCTTACGCTCTAAATTAGTCACTAAACGAATCACTTTTCAGTCAATCAAATAATTACTTCTTGCAATAATTTAGAGCCACCATAGCGGCATGCGAGTCCTGCGGTCTCACCCTGGATGCGAAGGCTCTCCTGGTACTGGATGATGAAGTATTCCTGGTTGTGCTGGAGCTTTCGCAGGTCGTTCTCCGTGTCTTGAGTGAGCAGGCGGAGCTCCTCGAACGCCTGATTGATCTGTTGGTATTTCTGAGACATGCTGTCCATCATCCCACCAACCGGAGAGCTCGACTAAATATGACAAAGAACGCATAGAGATGGAGGAACGAAAAGGTTAAACCAGTGCAACTAATAAAGTTGGTTTTCCCATTGTGCAGTTATGGCCTGGAGCTAACTAGACAGGTTTGTTTACGACGGCTGTTAATGTGAATTGTTAGCCACCGGTGTGCTGATATCTCGGAGATAACCTTTGGGTGATTCATTGACACCTTTTGTTGCAGTCAGACTATTTGCCAACAAAATCCCTAGCAAAAAGAGCAAATACTGTGATGGCACTGAAAGCTGAGATGAAAGAAAATGCGTGCGAACGTAGGCAGACTGCAGAGTCGCTTCAAAACTGAGCGAGTGCACACGAAGGTTCAGACTAAGCTAGCTAAAATTAATCGAAGCAAAACACGTTTTCACCAACAGGATAAAACGTGTAGACTAAAAATGAATTCCTCGCAAGACTTGCAGACGCTTTCCACGTCGTTGGCTTTATAGTTTCATAAAAGTGCACAGTTTTATGGTTTGGTGCATGTTATAAACTGTGAAATAGACTCACTGCAGCACGACGTCACAAGAACAACTGAGCTGTCTCAGTTTCCCACTGACTGGCGAAGACCCAACGTTGTATTGAAATACAGCATTGAGCAAAGAACAACTTGACAAAAGAAGATGAAAACAACTGAACACGTTGTTGACTACATGGTGCACACAAACGTGCATGTACGAAGGCGTTAACTCTTTAGCTCTCCAAAAGAAATTTGGAGAAATAAACTTCTCTGGCTATTTGGCACAGCAGCTCCCAAAAGCTTTAGAAGCCTTTAGATCACTGCTGCAGTTGTGTATTTTACAAGTTGGGAAAGCTGTGTCAATGTAAACAATAAAAACAAGGCACTGATTTGCTGAACTCAATAAATGCTCAGACAAAATCGGACATTTTTCAGCAAGACGATGCAAACTTGCATTCATTACAGTGTGGATGGGGGTGCCCGATACGTCGATCGCAATCTACAAGTTGATCGCAAAGGTATTATGGGTGCCATCATCCATCCTCATCAGGGCTGGACAATAATTCAATATCGATATATATCACGATATACTTTTATTAAATAGCGGTGAAATTATTTTAAGCACATTTTTAATATTTCGATTTACATTACGTTATGATTACAGAGTTTTACTGACATTTCTTTTTCTGTTGGCCATTTCAAACCGAACAGAAAAAGCAGCGACGCAGCTACGTACGTGCGTGGCGACATCCACAACACGCAGAGCGCGAGTCCAGAAGGCGTTAGCAGTAGCAGGCTAGGCTAATCTCCAACGCGCGTTAAGTTGTTGCTTCAAAATGAGTCCCCGTGACGGTCGGAATGTGACTGAACAAGTTTCACAAGTGAACAGAAAGCAGATGACACAAGTGATGAGAGAGGAAAGACTAATTCGGCCGTGCGGAAGAGGTTCGGCTTTCTAAGATCCAAAAAACTGCAGGTTTCAGTCGGTGTGCTGCAAAATGTGCCGGAGAGTCGTTCCAACTAGCGGTGGGAACATCTGGCTTGTTCCGTCTGAAGAGTTTCCACTTGATAGAATCTGCTGAGTCAGAAGATGAAGCGCAATAAACGTTTGAGCCAACGTGTCCCTGCCTGAACGACACCCCCCCCCCCCCCAGCTGTATCAAGAGAACCCCACGCAACAAACGCATGTTGTTTAAAGTTAAAACTATTCATATCAACAAAGTTGAGTTTTTTGGTTATTTGACGGTGATTTCAACATTTTTTGAAGGCTAAATACAAATAAAAGGTGAACATTAATTTATTTGTACAAGGGGTGCACCGATTTCATTAATTTTGGGAAATCGGCTGATACTTCCATGAGAAACCGATTTCGCCGATTTTTTAGTTTTACCAACAATTTTAAGAAACTTCATTTATATTTCAGAGCACTACCTCATGGCCAGTTAAAACAAGTTTGTATTGTTTTTAGGATATTGTTCAAGGGGATGGTTTTCAATAAAATAAGATGGAAAATTGAAGGTGCGTTGTGAACTTATAACACCTGACAATGTTGCTTATAAAACAAAATCGGAAACGGTAGGTCAGACTTTTTAAAAATCGGTGATCGGCCAGAAAACTGCAATCTGTGCACCCCTAGTTTGTACAGTTTTTCTGAGGCTTTTATATTGTTTATATCAATAATGGAATTATATCATTATCAACAAAAATTAAGAAATATATCGTGATAAAAGTTTTAGCCACAACATCGAGCCCAACCACAACTGCTAAGTTGCACATGTAGACAACAGGCGACTGCAGTCCAAAGTGTTTCTGCATTAACAACAGTTATAATAACTAGAACAACAGTTATAATAACTATAACAACCGTTATAATAACTATAACAACCGTTAT